GACCTCAGAAACCCCAGTCTCCGCTAGAGGTCAGGCATGCAGGGATTGTCAGCTCAAGTTTCTCTTGCAGCCCTGCGATCACTGATTTTTCTCGTGCATGATGAATTAAAGCCATTGACCCCTTTGTTTTTCTGGATAGGAAGGTCTAAAATTCACCACCCAAGCTACGAACTCGCGAGTTAAAGAAAAACAAATAGAAAAGGAAGACCCCCCACCTCCCCTCTCCCTGGCTCCCTGGACCAGCCTTGTGCATACTCAGGGGTTTTGCTCACTGTTTTAGAGAGCCTGTTCTAGAACACCACACAGACACTTCCTTTTTACTTAGCAAAAAGAGAATTGAATGTAGAGAATCTGCTGAAATAAAATAAGTGGGTTCACTTTGTGTCTCTGTACTTAATTTCCCGTACTCCTTACACAGAAGGGAGAAACAATGGGGAACGAGAGCATCGTGATAACCTAGGACCCCCAACTTTTGGGAGCCCCGGCGGCTGCGGTCACGACGCCCGATTATGCTTTCACCTGCAGTATTTACACCCTCCTGCTCATCTCAAAACTGTGGTGTGAACAGCCACTCCCAGCTCCTCCCCTGCGGCCCTTCTCCACTGCAGCGGAGAGAGCAGGTGGCAAGCGGAATGTGGGAGCAGGAAGGAGCTGTCATCCTGAGGCAAGCGCCGGTCGGCAGTGGCCGCCGGGGGCTCCAGCCCCTGCCTGTGAGAGCCCGGGAGGCACTCTGGGAGCTTTTACACGCCCACACACCAAGCGGCCCTGGCCAGTGTGGGCCTGGCTCACCGGCAGGTGTTCCTGCCTGCAGATGTGCGTTGAGGCAACATTGTGTTCACCGTGTTCCACACCTGTGGAGTTCAGCGCTGTATGTTACCTACCAGGCCACCTGCGCTGGAAGGTCATGGCTGAAAAAGTCCCCGGATGTCTGGGCAAACTTTCCCCACCTCTTTAGAAAGCTTGTAAGGGCCCTCCCTGGTGGTGCAGCGGGTTGGAGCGCTGCACTATGAAGCGAAACCAAGCTGTGGCCACTTCAGTGCCAGTTCGGTCCCCGCCCCGGAGCTGACCCCCAGGGCGCAGCAGACCTCTCCTGAGGTCCCCTCAGCAATGTGTTTCAGTCCCTCTGCCTGCTCTGCTCTCCACTCTGTCTCTGGTGCATCCTCTAGCCTGTACCCAGTTCTGTGTGCATAAATAATTTTTTTTTAAAAAAGAAAGCTTTTACGCCTTGCAATAGTGGTCATGGGGGCAGGGTGGGCGAGCAGTGGTGTGCTTTTCAAATAATGTTTATTGAGCAGTCACTCTGGACCAGGAAGCTGTGCTGGGGACTGCACATATGTTGTAAATCCTGGCAGTTATTCCTAAGCTAAGCACTAGTTCCACTTTGCCCGAATGTGTTGAGTCTGTACCTCGCAGAATGGGTGATAGAATTCCCATGCACGGCCCAGTGATGTGCTGCTGATGACACAGCTGTCAGGTTAAAATGTCACCTGGTAGTTGCCACATCTGCCA